GTCCCAAACAACCAGGTTATAAGCCACAAACAGCTTTTATAGGTGACAAGCAACACCTGAATTGCATCCAAAAGCTCACCAATAGCTATCGGTGAAGTAGGGAACACCCAAAGCTACCCACATAGTTGCATTCTGACCTGTTGTAATTCCTGATTTATCTTCAAGGTAGAGCATGTTACTGTAGTCCCGACAGAAGGTGATTAAGGCATGAGTGAGAATGGTGGTCCAATCCACAAAGGGTCATAATTGGGGCACAATATGGATTTGTGCAAAGGGCTTCCTGACTATAGCTGTCATCTGCTCAACAAGCAGGAGCTGAAAATTTAATAGAGAAGATAAGAATATCAAGTATTTACCATCTAAATAACTTGGAAAAGGTAATTGTGGAATATTTCTAGTTATTGTGCGTATAATATCAGCTTCCTTTGAAATCAAAGGAGAAAAATGTCTGCTAGCATGCACATTCTCACATATACCCAACGGAGTAAATTAGCAAATTGTAACTCTTTAGCTAAAGCAACTGCTTGGGAAAGTGAACAGTATGCCTGTTGAAATTCCTGTACATATTGAATAATGAAGCTGCTAGAATCTTTTACGTAATTGTCTGTCTATCATCTCTGGCTCCAGAGTTAGTTCCATTTGATAAAAATCTGTGGAAAATTAACCGAAGAAATTTGCAGAGATATATATAGAGCTCCACAGTCCATGGTAAAAATATTTGGCATGAGAATCTCTTGCTATATGTATGTTTATATAAATTGCATTTTAATTAAGTGATATCTAACAATTAAAGTATTTATAAAGTAGAATGTACTTTTTTTAAACCTTGAATAATCTTGCATAATGGAATTTTAAAGTTTGATATGGTTAGATTTTGATTATGTTAATTGCAGCTGAGTGTTACAGAAAACAATAGCTGGCTTCATATAACATACTAAGCCAAAAACAAGTAATACATAATATGGCTTATGATGATTTATAACTTTAACTGTTTTATTTATAAACCATAGTTTATGACATAGCATGCTGTGTGAAAGCAGCTACTTGATGCTAAACTAATAGACTATAGTTAAACCATATCTTAGCACAATATATGAACCAAGCCACTGGGACTTGACTAAGATCAGGTAACTCACTTTGGATACAGTTAATTAACATACATCTATCACACTATTCCATTATGGAATAAGCAATATAATGTAGCAGAAGAGTAAAAAGTAGTAAGCCAAAGAAATTGGAGGCAAGAGATGAAAAGAAAAGTGTAATTCCACATTTACATGTTCACCATAATTTTCTATCCTTGCTAACCATCCTTGCTTCAATTCATTGCTAGAATTATTAGACACCACATGTAACAGTATGAAGATGATAAAATAATAACACAAAAGAGAGAATTCTCATAACCAACAGTTTTTTTTATGTTGTTGGAGAGAAACTTTAAGTAGCAAGCGTACATCAGATTTTTGCTTCTGTAACTCACAAATAGTGATTTCTTAGAAAAGAAAGCATACTGTACCTTCTGGTTGAATCATTTGCAGAATAGATCTTTTATTGTATAAATAATAAAGATTAACATTATGTTAATCGTTTTTCTTTATTTGACTCAAAATACATTATTTGAATAAGCACTTGGGAAAACTGAAAAGAATCACCCCACATACCCTTTGTATTCTGCCAACAAAGAAGAAAAAAAATGGGGTGAGAGTCTAGTTTGATTTGGCATTGCAACTGCAAATGCCTCTGTTCCAAAGTGCAGTTCTAAAATATACAACAGCACCATCTGGTGTACATGCATTACTCTTGCCTACTGCTGCTTTTTGATTTAATTCCTGGTGATTTTTGGAGCTGTTAGTAATTAACTCAAATGTAAACGCTAACATGTAAACCAAAACTAATTTATTTTCTATACTGGACAAGCAGATCAATTACCAGTTAGGAGTCCTGTCCCAAAGTGTTTGGACATAGGCAACTGATAGTTTAATTTTATCTTTTGGTATTTGTTTGGATAACAGAACATGCTTTATTTCCACAACTTTCAAAATAAAATATAACTATTCTCATATAGAAATGGTGCAAAGCAGAAAGATGTTTGTAGTTTTTACATTTTTATTAATTTATTTAGTCAATGTATACGGCTGCCCAAGTTGCATATTGCTGTTCCGGTAATATGACAAATTAGAATTAAAAAAAAATGAATTGGGTTACTAAGAGGAGAAGTAAAGAGAGGGAGCATAATAAGAAGCAGAAATGATTCTAGCGTTATAATCTGTGAATGACTGTGAAAACTCAACAAAAACATCATTTATGGAGCTCTGTAAATGAGAGATAGATGCATCCTAGCACTGAAGGAATTAAATCTCCATGTTGAAAATCCCTGCTCAGTTATGAGTCTTTTGAAGTGACCTTTCATTAATGATACAGTGCTTAGTTTACTTCACAGGGGACTTGTAAAGATTAGCAATCTCTGTGAGGCCCTAAGCAACCTCTGAGGAAGGTAACATATGTAGTGCCCAAGGGACAAAACCTTTTCAGGGCTTCAAATTTTGTTTTAATTTTTAAACTGCAAATAGCCTTTGGAGGCATAGTTATACATATACATACTGTACACCTACCTCTCTAATTAAAATTATGTCATTCATCTCTTCTTTGAATCTGAAGATCCAGTTAAACTAATGGAGTGGAAGAAAGCAACTGAGATTCCAGTGTACACTACTAAGCTTTGCAGTGTAATTTTGAAATGAAAATTGAAAATACAGACTGGAATTCACAAAAAATAATACACAAGATAAGGCAGCATGGTTTGAAATAGGATCAAATGTAAAATAATAAATCATGGTCTTTAGATGTCCGGCTTAATTAGTGTATATTCTATGGTGTGAAAGTGAAAATGTGTTATAAGGAACTACTTAAGATCAGGTAGATAGACTGGTAAGTTCAGGCTGGTAGAAATGTTAACTGAAATTTTCTGTAAATGCATAGTATTGTTGTGTGAATAATATTTCTCTCTTGCATTCACAATATTCTGGAATAGTACCACTGAGAGGTAGATACCTATAGATCTGTCCTTCTAAATATAAATTATATAAAATTTCTCCCTATTATACCTAAATCTGTTTCCTTTACTAAAATCATTAGCAGTTCCTAAACTGACAGAGGTGGACCTTCAACGATTGGTCCTAGCCTACAATGATTTCCAGGCCCTGATGAAATACCTGAGAATATGGAAAGAACTGGTTGAAGACCTATCAGAACTTCAAATATTTATGTTTGAAAAAATGAGATGCCAAAGAACTGGATAAGAACAAATGTAGTCTTCAAGAAAGGCAAAAAAGAAGATTCTGGTAATTCTTGATCAGTGAGCCTATTATCACTGTCACAGCAGATAATAAAGATGTTAGAGAATATAATAAAACAGGCCATTTGTAAACATCCTGATGATGTCGGTGTGATTGCTAAATGTCAGCATGGCTTTGTCAAAAATAGGTCACGTGAGACAAATCTTGTCTCCTCCTCTGACAAAGTAATTAATTTAGTGGACAAAGGAAATGTTGGGGATATAATCTACTTTGATTTCAGCAAAGCTTTTGACAAGGTTTTACATAACATTCTCATTGACAAGCTGTTAAAGTATGGTTTAGGTGGCATGACAATAAGGCAGGTTCATAACTGGCTGCTAATCACATTCAGAGAGTCAGCATTAATGGCTCTTCATTGAGTTGGAGAGCAATAACCAGTGGGGTCCACTGGGGTCTGTTTTGGGGCCAGAATTATTCAATATTTTTATTAATAACTTGGATAACAGGATTGATGGGCTGCTTGTCAGATTTGAGAATGACACAAAATTGGGAAGTCTGGCCAACACCCAGAATGATAGAGATTGCAATATAACCTGAGCAGGTTGAAAAACTGGGCTGAAAGGAACAAGATGTCCTTCAACAGGGAGAAATATAAGGTACTGCATTTAGGGAAGAACAGTACAGGGCACACATATAAAATGGGGGCTTGGAAGCACTGTTGTTGAGAGTTGGGTAGCATACAAGTTTAATAAATTATCATCGTCATCTCAGAGAAGGAACATGAGCTAGCGATATGAGACAGCTGCTAGAAAGGCTAACATATTTCTGGGCTGCATTAGAGGAAGCCCTGTATCAAAGATGAATACAGGTAGCCCTCACTTAATGATTGCCCTGTTCAGTAACTATCTGAAGTTATGACAGCACTGAAAAGTAACTTTATGACTGGTCCTCACACTTACAACCATTACAGCATCCCCATGGTCACATGATCAAAATTTGGGCACTTTGCAACAGGTGGGAGTTTACAACCATTGCAGCGTCCAACAGTCATGTGATCACCATTTGTGTGCTTCACAGCCAGCTTCTGACAAGCAGAGTCAACGGACAAGCCAGCAGTAAAACTGCAAGTCACAGTCATGTGATGTCTCACTTAATGACCGTGTTGTTTAGCAATGGAGCTGCTGGTCCCAATTACGGTTGTTAAGCAAGGACTACCTGTAAAATTCCATTCTACTCTGGACTGGCAAGACCACACCTAGAGTACTGTGTACAATTCTGGGCAGATTGACAAGTTAGAACAGGTGTAGAGGAGGATGGCAAAGATGAGGGCATGTCCTATGCGGACAGACTAAAGGATCTTAGTATGTTCAATCTGGAGAAAAAAAGACCGAGTGGAGACACACAAAAGGGCCATCGGGAAGATGGTCAGAAATTTCTATTCCCACAGTAATTAGGACCAGAAATAATAAGTTACCATTGCAGCTACTAGATTTTGATTAAATATCAGGAAAACATTTTGATAGTAATACAACAATGGAACAGTCTACCTACAGAGATTGCAGGTTCTGTATCTCTGCAAGTATTAAAGAAGATGCTGGACACCAATCTCTCAAGGATGGCTTAAGTGGGTTCCTTGCATATTGTAGAAGGTTGGACTAGATGATCCTTGTGGTCCCTTACAACTTCACAAATCTGTGATTCTAGACTTTTAAGTTAGATATAGTTTAGAAACTTGTTAGGGCATGATTATGCCTAACAGTATTTGTTCTGCTTACAGAAAAGTGTGGAGCAAATATTACTGCAGACTGTGGAAGCTGTAGGGTTTTGAGGGGCCTGGATTCTTAGATTTAGAATTCTAAGAACAGATACTTTGCAAGATTATATTATCAACTTTGTGCCTTTTTAATTTGTTATGTGTAAATATTGTTTAATGCATTTTCAATTTACACACTGGTTTATGAAAGCAGTAACACAGGCAGATAGTTTTGGGGGTGGTGCTATGCATGCATCATAGAGGGAGCCTAGGATAATCGTTCATCTTAAAGGTTTTTCTCCTTCCAGCTACCAAAAAGATCAGCTGGGAGAATAGGCATCTCAACAATTGGTGGTAGACTCAGCAGCTCCTACATTTCTCGGAAAGTGATGCTGATACTGAATGAAAAAAATTGTTGCCTGGAAACATCCTTATTAGCTTCCATCTTAGTTCCTAATCTTTGGAAACTGTCCATTGTGAGATGAGGCAGTGACTCACCAAGTTGTCATGCAAGTTTGTATCTCCCAGTTGAATGGAGAAATAAGAGCAGTCAAGCTGATGGTGTGAACTCTGGGTATATTATTGGAAGTTTAGGGCTTTTTCCCCCCAAAAAGTGCATAACTGTGTAATAGTACTGAATACAGGAAAAGACAGAATGAAGACCTGTTTGATACCACAATCAGAAAAAAAAAAGAAGATAAAATAAATCTCTAAACAGACATTGTCTTCTATTTTCTCTTCCTTTCACTAGTGTTCACAAACCTTTTTGAAAATATTCCAGCTGAGATATTTTCTCTAATTAATTTTGGCATCAAAGATGTTCTTTAGAGTAAGAAAGAAAGTGCTGATGCCTGTAAAACTTAGCTTCATTAAAAAGACATGAAACCTTATTGCAGCTCTTCAAATTCCTGTTGAGATTCCTGGAGAGTTTTATCCATATTTCCTTTTACGCCTGCCTTGGTAAAAAGGCCATTGTTAAATGCCAGATCGTTTACTGTATTAGGATGTCAGTGAAAGCCAATAATTTTTTTAAAAAAAAACTTCCTTCACCTTTTCTGACTTTGAGGTTAAACCTAAGCCTTAATTGCCTAGATCAGGAAAACAGACATTGTAGCCTTTTGTAGCCCCAAAGGGATAGGGCATTTCTCCCCAGCTTTTCTTTTGCATTTTTTGCAGTATTAAGGGGTAAATAATGCCCAAGAGGTAAAGACTTGCAAATACATAAGGAACTCATTTTACTTTTTTAAAATCCCCATCCTGCCAAAAAAAAGGAAAAAAAAAGGCCCTGGAATGCCTACTTTTGAAGTTGTGGTTGACATAGTAAAGTATACAAAACCTGGTGTAGCCTCTTCGAGCCAAAGGAAACTGCACACTTGGCCTAGGTTACCATCAAGGCAAGCCATAACGTAATTTATCTGGTTTTCAGCCTATATTGTATGTATCCTTGTGGTTTGTAAATGATGGTTTACTGGTTTAGTGTGCAGAGTAAATTCAGAGAATGTGGCTTTTATAATACATTGATGAAATCAAACTATGTGACCTAGTGACTACTTGGTAATATGACTGTACTGTAACAAATGTAATACTTTTT